AAAAAAAAAAAAAAAAAAAAAAAAAAAAAAAAAAAAAAAAAAAAACCTACACAGTAATCTATATGATAAATTTGTTGAATTGTATGATAACATCTTACTAGTCATATCAATAATAATTTGATTGTTTAACAATATTATGCTTCTTTTTTTTTTACTATGTATAGAAATTAAACTCGTAAAAAATTTCACTGGCAAATTGGGATGTAAAAATAATATTCTATATTTTCTTACAACTTATTTTATTATCTGAAATACAATGTTGTTGGAATAAAGAACGAGAATTCCAGTTCCACATAGGGTGCTAAAAAGGAAAACTAAAAATATTAATAAGCATTCGGTAATTCCAAATAAAAATATTTAAAATTAACACAAAAATATACATTATAGTTCAAATAAATTAGAAAATATAAATACCTCATATTGTAATACTGTAAGTTGTAGAATGATATATTTATTTTAAGTCGTTTCATGATGTTAAGTTGAATTATTATTTTGTGTTAAGGAATTTTAATATTTGAGGATTTCTTATGAGTTTCAATAATGTTTGGAGTTTCTATAGATAAAGATTCAATTTGACTTCAAGGGAGAAGTATATAAGGTTTATATTTTGAATAGAGTCTCATAAACTCCATTCATCAGGAACTTAGAGAAAGTGATTCTAGAGAGATAGACTTTGGTCCGTATAGTTTTTCTCCGTGCATCTTCCCTTTCAATGAGATTCTTCTTCTTTTTAGTTGATCTTAGGTTGTTTTGTTGTGATTCAAGTAGTGAAAACCTTGAATCAAATTGTTTATCTAGTGTGGGGTTCCGTTTCTCTTCTCCTACCTTAATTCCGTTCTCCATCGAGGTAAGGGAAGTTGGATTTGTGGCTTCTATGTTGTAGTTTGGATTTGTTGGATAATCCTGACGCTAAATATTGTTTGGATTTTGTGATGTTATGATTAAGTTGACTGAATTAGAGAAGGTTTATGTGAAGGTTGGGATTTGGGGTTCAAAAGAGGAATTGGATGGTAGTGAATGGTTTGTGGTTGCATGTTGATTTTAAGTGTATATGTGTTGGTTGTAATGTGTATGACTGTTGTTTGATGTTGCATGTGTTGGATCTTTGCTGAGTTTCAAGTTGTGTCAAAATTGGACTCTGCACATGTAGAGTTCTGATATCACGTTGGGTGTGCTTTCAAGGCATTGACCTTGAGGAGAAAGACTTGTCTCGGATTAAATTGGCACTAAGCATGGTTTAAATGGCATTAAGCATGAGGATACTAGGAGGTTTCTGACTTGGTAACGTCAAGCCCAAGGTTGAGTAACACCCAACATGGCCAAACCAGAGCTCTTTATTTGGATGACACTGGACATTAGTATGGTGACACCAAGCATAAGTTAGTCAAAACTCCTTACCTGAGATGAGGTCAAGCATGGTACCTTATCATGTCGGGCACGAGGATCCAGAGGCCTTTACTTTATCCATGCCGAGTGTAGGTTGTGTAGCACTAAGCGTGGGCGAGGTAGAGAGTTTCCTACTTGGATGGCATCAAGCGTTGGGTGTGTGGCATCGGGCATTGGTTGCTAAAGAAATGTTAATTGATTTGATGAATTGTTAAATACTTGTTGATTGAGTTGTTTGATGACTAAATGAGGATGAATGAGTTGCATGAATAATGTGTATGTTATGGTTCTGTATGAGTTGTTAGTTGAAAGTTGAGATGAGTTGAAGGTTATGTGGTTGTGTAGTTGTGTTGAAATAGATATATGCATGATGTTGTTATTTTCTTAAAATTATGAATGCTGAGAATGTTTTAGGCATTTAAGCATAGTGTTTTTGAGTTGTGATGACCAACTTAGCACTATAAGAGGGATTTTTAAAAAGTTAAATATTCCATTATAAGAATATTATGTTGTAGTGCTCTAATAGCTTATTGTTGAAAATAAATTTTGGGAAATTGACCATTGAAGTGGGTAGTTGTGTTGAATCTCCTCTAGGACTTAGTTGGTACCATGGCTAGACAAGGTCAAGACACACACATATAAAACGACCATAGTATATGAGTTAGGTCAAATTATACTGATTACAAGTGACCAACTGAGTAAAATACAAAGTTAAGAACTTAGTTTCTAACCGAGTATCAAAAAAGTGTAGTATTTAGAAGGTAGTCAGTGGGCTAATTGCATAGGAGGCTAAGTTAAGCTAGTTAATGTTGTGGTAGGCCTAAACCTAGTTGTTCTACCCTGATAATAGTACTATGCTTCCTTGTTTAAGTGACAACATCGAGAAATCAAGTTGTTGTGTTGTGATTAATATCCAAATTGTTGTTGAGCTAGTAAGTCAAAAAGATCATCTTCTGTTGTTAGTTCGGTAGGGGAAAGCCACTTAAACTTTTCACCCTATGTTGAAAGAGATCTCCTAGTTGAAGTACGTGATGACGTACCTAATGTTGTATTGTATATATTGTGTTGAAAATGCCTTGTTGAGTGTTAAGACCCTGTATGGTTCCCGTTGTGGTATTAAAGTTGATTATTGTGTAGTTATATATTAAGTTGTTCGTGTTGATATATAGTTTACTTGTGTTGTGATGTTGTTTTGTTGGTAGTGTTGAAGATGAAATGAAGATATGATGATATATATTGTTGTTGATGGTTCATGTTGTATATATGTTTTTTTCTTGGCTAAAAACCTAATTTGGTCCCTTATAATAATTTTTTGTTTCAATTTAGTCCCATTTTAATTTTTGGTTTCAATTTGGTCCCAAACTAATTAATTGGTTTCAATTTAGTCCCTAATAAATTAATTGGTTTCAATGTGGTCCTTCCGTCAAAATTTGTTTAACGCCGTTTGGATTTTTTCCACGTGGCAAAAAATTAAAATGTGATAATTGTAATTAATGCTGACGTGGATTTCCAACGTGGAAAGAGTATTTTTTGTGCCAAAACCGCACGAGAGAGAAGAGAAAACGAGAGAAGTCTGATTCATTAGTTTGTTTGGAGATAAAGTTTTTCTTAGGGTTTTGAAGAAGAAGAAGAAGGCGCATGCATTGAAGAAGAAGAAGCGACGTTTTTGTGTTGTTCTAATAGGGTAAGTCCTTTGTTTATGGTTTTTTTGATTAAAGGGTCTTGTTGGGTTCACTTTAGGGCTACGGGTAAGAGTGGGACTGGGTTATGAGTTGCGTTTTGATGTTTATTGGGGAGATTTTGGTTTTGGTGTGGTCCCAAACACTGGGTTCGTTGGTTTTGGTGTGGTCCCAAACATTGGGTTCGTTGGTTTTGGTGTGGTCCCAAAGAATGCGTTGGTGGAAATTTGTGGTTTATTTTGGTTCCTGTATGAATAAATCTTGTTGTGTGTTGTGCATATATTGGCCTCACTGAGTTGTACATTGTTGACCCGTATAAATGCATAACATTACATCAAGGAGATATTCTTCCTAAAATATTAAAGAAGATTGAAAAGGAAAGTAATTTGAGCAAATGGTGGATACCAAGGTATATTTCACATGGTTTGAATTGTTTAGATTAACCCATTATTGGTTTATAATGAGTTAACATATTATTTTCAGTTGGGCTGGAGAGCAAGTTTTTGAGGTCAAAAATGTCAACTTGATAGGAGATAAATATACTATCAACTTGCAAGTGCAGGAATGCAGCTGTAGAAAATGGATGTTGACTGGGTTGCCCTGCTGCCATGCTATATCATGTATGAGGTATATGAATTTGGATCCAAAGGTTTTTGTGCCAGAATATTACAAGAGGGCAACATATGAAGTTGTATATCAATCAATGATATATCCAGTAAATGGTCAGCAACTCTGGACCAAGACATGGTGCCCTAATGTTCTTCCACCACCATGTAAGAAAATGCCAGGACGCCCTAAGAAAAGAAGGGCATTCCTGTTTCTGCTAATAAAATCTTAAAAGCAAAATTAATGGTAAAGCAAGGATTAATTTTTACTGGGTCGTGAATGTTCAAGGTCTTAACAGCTGTGTTTGATCATAATTCTTTTCTTAGAAAACTAGGAGTAGATTAAAGTATTCCCGATCTAGATGCATGATTGGAAGAGGTATATATGTTGAGTTTTCTTTCTTTGCTAAATTTCTTGTTGTTGAAAAGGGATTTGCTAATTAAAAGGGTTTCACAAAGGACTATTTCAAATGACCCAAAACTAACGTAGCAAAATTTAATCCCATGGGAGGCACAGCAGTAAGAAGAGAAACTTTCTTTTCCTTGGTTAATCAAAAAAAGAAGAGAAACGTTCAAACATGACATGATTTAGTTATAACAAAATTGACTATTTTATTTTAATCCAATAAAAACTCATATTTACTCTCTTCACAACCTTGTTTTTATTTGCTAATATATTCTATGTTAACTAAATCAACATTTTTTTTCTCCACCTTCCTATCTTTTCCCCTTCATTATTTAGGTCCTCTGCATCTGTTGCCTTTACAACACGGTTACATTTCCTTCACTATTATCTTTGTAAAATATATTTTTTTCTATAAATAAATTAAAATAACAATATTTAAGGGTGTTTTCACATATCATTTTTCAAGGATAATGCCATTAATTATTTTTCTTCAAAAAGAATAATTTTAAAAAAATTTCTTAACTTCTTATTTCTTTCGATTTATTATTTTATTTTTAAAATTAAATGTTAATATTTTTTTAATAAAATATTAAAATAATTTTATATTACAGGATAAATTATTTATTATAAATATAACACATTATTTTTCTTCATAAATTTAATTATAATATAATTTATATATTCAAAATATTTATTTATTATAAATTTGTCCTCTGCTATAAGTCAATAAAAACATGTTAACTTCAACCCACCAGACCCGTGAGAATCACGGCCATGATTCACAATCACGCCCGTGATTCCCTCTGTTATAAGGATATCGGACCTCCTAGAAGGATTAATTTTAATACTTGTTATGCAATGCACTGTATTACTAAGGACAATGATGACATGTTTTATTTCATTGTTAGCCAGACAGGAGTGAACCACTTACTGCCAAACTGACACTATACAGTAAAGGATGAAACCACCTGGTGTTTCCCCTTGCAGTCATTGACTGATGTACCCCAACAACAACCTGTTCTTCAGGACGTAGCACTTGAAGCAGACCAAGAGGAGACAGAGGACCAACATTTCACAAGACAACTGCATGTACAAGTAGACAATGCTGATATTCTATCTGCCATTCAATCTATGGATCGTCAAATACAAGAGATGGATGAACGTCAACAACACTATAATTATATGGTTGATAGGATGTATAATTGGCACCTTCAGCGTTATCCAGATGATTTTCCTCCCCAGTAATTTCTCTGACTCATATTGCTTCACCACAAGCAATTTATGTTATCATTTTCTCTTGTTTAGTCTTTCAACTTTCTTAGCATATATATTTAACTCCTTCAAATTTCATACCATATGTATTAAAGTCTTTAAAAACTTTGACCTTAATATATGTATGTTTATGAATTTTGGTATGCTTTGACATTCATACTTGCTGCACTGATGGTTTTATTATTATAAATATAACACATTATTTTTCTTCATAAATTTAATTATAATATAATTTATATATTCAAAATATTTATTTATTATAAATTTGTTACAAAAATTTATGATATGCGGTGTGCATATTAAAATAGTTAGGATAATTAATAATAAAAAAAATGATATATCGTAGCTGGGGTAGAATGAATGTAAAATTACACTTCTACCCATAATTTAATTTTCATCATTTTAGCCCCGGGATGTTATATTTTACACTGATCTACCAAAGTAATTTATAATTACAATGCTAAGATAAATGAATTAAAAAGAGAGAGAGAGAACAGGAACATGACAAGAGAATATTTAAGTGCCCTAAAATTTATTATTTTAAAAATAATAATTTTAAACTTGAATTTTGTCTTAATTAATCATTATAATTTATTTCTTACACAAATAATTTAAGTTAAAGTTGGAGTTAAAATACTAACCCGAAAGAGAATCTAATAGTTTATTTATCTTAAATTTTACTCATTCATTTTTTTTATTTTTGTGTTACAACTTTTTTTCTTCATATATTGAGATATAATAAAAATGATTTTAGAATAAATAAAATAGGGAAAAATAATTTTGATTTTAATTATAAATTTTATTATGTTTCAATGTTTGAAAATGTAATTAATAAAATCAAACTAATAAATGATTGAGACTAAAATAAATAAATAAATAATCAAGATTTCTTGTTTGTTAGTCATTTAACCCCAATTTAATACAAGTGAATATTTATAAAAAAATGTAAATTTTAAGAATCAAGTGATCATAAATTTAATTATAATATAATTTATATATTCAAAATATTTATTTATTATAAATTTGTTACAAAAATTTATGATATGCGGTGTGCATATTAAAATAGTTAGGATTTCTTTAAACTCTAGCTTACTCTTGCGTGTTTTCATGTGGTTTGAACTACGATGATCATATGTAATATGAGAGCAAAACAATGGTAGGTATGAAGTTGAGTAGTGGAGGCCTCTTAGTAGTGCTAGAGTCAAATGTCTCTTTTGAGACTACCTTTTTGAGGTGGTCCTTATATAGATAATAAGAGTTGTTTGATCAACGACTTAGATTGTATAATTACTTTTGTCTAGATTACTATATCTATATTATATACATATACTAATGTAGTTGAATTATTTTTATATGTGATGATATATGATAGATGTTCATGTATTAATATATATACAATCCTTAGCTATTAAATAATTTTTTGTTGCTAATAACTGTACTGTCTAGTGTAAAGACCAATGGTGGGTCTTTACACATGAGGGAAAATGGAGAAAATTTTTAAATTTTTTAATGAATCAAGTTTAGAGTAATTAAAATTTGAAGTAATTTTCTTAAAATATAATTCATTTGAGAAAGCTTAAGATATGAAAACTAAATTAGCATAAAAGAACATTGTGAAAGTAATTAAAAAAGTTAAATTTATGAACCCAAAAGTTTATGAACTGAGTGAAGATACAGGGGAAAATCCAGAGTTGAAACCGCTCGGTTAATGTATATTTGTTAGGACTCTAATAATTCATAAACCTCTAAATGACTCGTATTTTTACATCTGCGCACGACTGGGGCTTGAAGAAGCTCCCAATGAGGAAAAGAACACGCTAAATTACTAGTGGACACGTCATCATTTCAATATCTGGTCAAATAATAGTAATACTCTCTTTTACTTTTCATGAAGCAAACTCCTCCCTATCAATAAATTTTGTTACTGATTGGAAAAATGTGTTGAATCAGATCAGTTGCAAGTATAAACACATGCTCATTGATGTATTGAAAAAGCAAGAAAAAGAGGGAAGTTTACTATAGACAAAGATTAGCGACAAGCCCACAATGCACACCATGCAAAAGTTCAAATATACCTGGCACCTGCCAATAGTTCATCTTTACTCTCATTTTATGATCAACATAACTTTCATTGAAAAAAAATAAAAAAAAGATTACCCTTTGATTACATTTGAGCATACCGAATGGTGTGATTCTGTTCTTGTATTTGATACTTTTAGTTTCAGATCCTGAGCTTGCAAATGAATAACTCCTACATATAGTTATATAATTACTAACATTTAACAGTGGGCTGATACATGTAGTACATCCTTTCAACTTCAAGTCAACTGAAGTCTGGTATAACGTTAGTTGCTGTGCAAGAAAAATCATCAGCCATAAACAAGTGAAGGAAAAAGGCCTTTCTGTCAGAATTCCTCCATTTACTTGGCAAATAAGTACAATTGATTTCATCCACAACCTCTAAAAGCAGCAGCAGCAGCATGCTATCTTTCAACCAAAAAGGCACATCATCAATGAGCAGTATACCACTTGGCAGAACTTATGAGTTGCGTAATGAAAGATCATGCAATCTATCCACTTCAAATTGGGAACTACACCATCAATATGAGGAAATTCGTTCTAAAGATCATGATAGGATTAGGGAGTAATGAAACCAAACTTCCACTTAATTCCAAGAACAATAATTTAAGACAACCAAAACTAAATAAACGTCAAATAAGCCTAAGCAGGCATAACATTCAGAAGGCGCATACAACCAGGGTGTTGCTGGAAACATGGAGGTACCCCAGCGCATGAATATTTGCCAGAGACCTTTAATCAATACCTACCCATTTCCTAAATTCCTGCACATGCTCAAGCCGTTTGCTTTGTGCTTCTGTTCTTGTATTTGATGCTTTTAAACTTCTATAAAGATTCTTATGAAGTCTAAGGAACTCACTTTTGTACATCCACTTGTCAGTATACATGTTATGGTCTTTCATATGGCTAATGACCTCCAGTACTCTCTCAAAGTAACCACCTCGAAGAAAGTTTAGCAGCAGCAACTCATATAGATCTCTGTTTCCCTCTAAATTGCCACTTCTCATGAATCTCTTAATGTCTCCCCACAAGATTGTGATCTCGCGATACATACCAAGAGAAGAATATCCACAGATCAAAAAGGCAAAAGTTTGACATGTGGGTTGAACTTTCATGGCAACCATTTTTCTATATGCCGTTAGTGCATCCTCTATCATTCTGGCCTTAGAGAAAAAGAAAATGCAAGAATTGAAGTTATACACCAAAGGAAAAACTGTCTGATTTTCATCGTTCAATATTTGAGCCAAGGCAATAGCCAGATCTGCTTTACCAAGTGAATTTAATGTTTCTTCGGAGAGGTTGTGTTTGTCAATAGCATCATCGGATAATCCTTTGTCCAAACCAACCTTTTTCATTTGTTTCAGCAGTGCCTTTGCTTCTCTTAGCATTCCCCCCCTCTGATATGCTGACACGAGTAACATATATGTATCCTGGCCCAGTGGAGACCCAGTGGCCTCAACATCATCCAAAATGTCATGAGCACACTCAAGCCATCCAAACTGAATACAAGCACATATCACATCAAAACACAAACTGGATCCGGCCACTGAATATAGTTCCTCTTGAATACTGAGTAAAAGTTTTGAAAGTTCACCGATCCTCCCATCTTTCTTGTAACCACTAATGAACTTAGCCAGAGCTCTGTTACTAAGAACTAGTTTCCCACCCCTATAAAAAATAAGATCTTGTCTGCTTTCTACTTTGAGGACAGAATCCTTATGCAGTAGCTCAGGCTCAACATGTATCTTTAATGCAATCTTAAGGTTAGGAGATCCAATGGCAATAAAGCAAGGATTATGCAAGTGTTTCCCACATTCTGGTTTCACATTACAATTATGCGAGCCAGTCATATCCACAACAAGCTTTGCAGCAGCATCAATGTCATTAAATTTAAAGTGCAAGCTCAACAAGCTATCATAGAACTGACGATAGTGACGAACATAAGCAGCAGAAACTCTACCAATATGATCTTTCAATTCCTTCAGTTCATCTCTCAAACCATTCATCTCTAGAATCTGCGAAATTATCACAATTGAGTGTGCATCAGCCATGGTCCCGCTCAGAGACATTAACTCAATCAGGCACAGGCCTTTCAAAGACAATTTAAACCTCACACAAGCATCAAGAACAAGGTTAAAGACCAAAGTATCCGGCTTAACGGCGACTGCATGGTGAGCCTTTTTATCATGCAAAAAATTGTAAAAATCACAAACTTGAAACAGATAATTCGATGCAAGATGTGTTCCAACTTCTGTCTTCACAATATGAAAAACAACCAAAGACAATAAATGCATAGAGGGCACGCACCCTTTGTCAAGCATCAACCTAAGTATCACTGAGGCAGGGGATGGCATTTGCAACCTAGCTAGAGAAAGCGCAAGTTTGGTTAAGGTATCAGCATGAAGTAAACCTGACTTCTCTTTAACAATTTGCAACACCAAATCACAAGCTTTCCGCATCCAAACTTGATTAGAAGAGTAGGACAATTGAACAATGAGCTGGTTCACTAGATGAACCTCAGGATAGCCATAAAGGCTTCTGAAATCCTGAAAAGATTCCCATGCCTCATGCACCTGATGATTCCTCAGAGAAAATTTAAGCTTCCCCAATAGAATTTCCTGGGTGGAACGTTCCCATGATAATCTTTCACAGCGGCCAGAAGAATAATTTTTTTGCAGAAACGGATTGAACTGCTCAAAGCAAACATGCCCTTGAGAAATCCTGTGTAAAGGAGAAAACTTTCTGAACAAGCGGTTACGAAACAGAATGTATTTGGTAAAAGGGAGTACCATGCCACCATCCCTATGTTATTTGTGTTTCATTTATATGCATACAAGTGCAACGCCGAGACCGAAAGGTTTCTACTCAAACTAGAGTGAGATAATGTCGATAAATAACCGATTTTTAGAGTTGCAGAAGCAAAAATAAAAATAAAAAAATGGGAGATTTGAGATACTATAGTGGGAATTGAATGAAAATCGCAAACCCTAAGTAACTGAAGAAGACAACGCCCTTCTCGGTTTATACTTTTATTTTGGTACCAAAAATACAAATTGTAATGTAAATATAAAGAGGTTTTAAATTGATGTCTGATCATAATTGATATATAATATAAAGGGATTTTATAATAATTATATCTATTATAATTTTTAAACAGTTAATAATGTTAAATTTTTACAAATATTATATAGAAATTAAACTAATGGGTAATAATTTTTGTAACATAAACTCATGTAAATATATTGTTTAAATTAATTAAAATACATATTTAATAATTCTGAAAAATTAATGTATTATAATGGTATATCTGTAATAGTTTAAAAGAAAGATGGTGGAAGTGAAAAGGTTACTCTAGAAGACTGTGTGGAAGATGAAGTACATGTTTGAATTCGCGTTACTTATTCAAGTTTTCACGAATTTGACGCATAACTAAGAAATTATAATTTCTTATTTTTATTAAACCAAACACGAAGCAGAGAGCAAGAGAATTGAAAAGTGAAGAAAATGCAGCAAACTAACTTCTTCGCATTTTCATAAGAAGTGTTTTGTTTTGTAGATTAAAAACTTAGTTTCAAGAATATTGAGGGTGTTTAGTTTTAGAAAATGCTTTTTATTTTTATTTTTTTTAAATCATTTTATTTTCAACTTTTGAAATTTTAAAAACTTGGTTAATTTAATTTTAAATTTAAAATTTAAAAAATGGAAATAATAAAAATATATTAAGTTTGCCTATTTCTAATAATATATTTACAATATGTATCTTCACAAAATATTAATATTATTATATTATTTATTAAAATAAATAAATATAAATATAATCAGCATATAGACAAAATAATTATAAATATGATCAATACAACTTATTTTAAAAAATAACGATCATAACAATATTTAACTATAGTCATTATAATTAAATAATATATAATGTAAATTATATCATATATGCAATACATTTTTTACAAAAATAATATTATTTTAATTATTATATTAATTAGGATGTGTATATCTTATAAATTATTATCTTCTATAATTAGAAACAGATTTACTATTTATTTTACAAATAATATTAAAATAAAAATAAAAGATTAATTATTTTATAAATAAAGTAATATCCGTTTCACAAAGAAAATGTTACAAAAATATTAGAAGACGCATTAAAAATTAGCTTATCAAATACATATTTTAATGATATGACAATGGAATACATGGACGTGAACTTTCATCAAACTCTTAAAAAATTAAAAGAAACTATATTGGTTTGTGTTGGCAAAAGTTTTTACAGAAATTTCCAAATCCAAAAGTCAAAGGAAGTTACGTTAATTTGTGCAAGTAAAGAAAAAAAAAACATTGTGATTATTTATATGTGAATTATTGCGTTTTCACATTTTCAATTTTGTAATTTCATTTTCTCTAAAGATCTAGAAAATGATATTTCATTTTCAACTTCGGATTGTTTTTGAAAATGTTTGTAAAGAAAACATTTTCTAAAATAAAAACTAAACTATTTTCACTCCAATTTTTCATTTTTAATGAAAAGGAAAATAGAAGACAAACATATTAATGGGACTCTTGAGTTGAGAGTGTCATATTTTCATGTTTATTTAGAATTTGAAAAAATATTTTTAGATATATTATCAAGAAAATAGTCATAATATAAATTATTTTTATTTTAATTCATATGTTTAAGGATGGGAGAATTGTATTCTCATAAAAATATGAAAACTTATATTTTAATCCACTTATTTAACTTATTTTTTATTTTAATTAATTTAAAAATATTTTCATTAATGTTAAAATTTCACCAAATACATTTTTAAATATTTTCAAAAATAACATTCTAATAATAATATTTTTAAGAATGTAATTCTCATAAAAATAATAATATACATTAAAATAAATATTTTTTAACTTTTGTAATATACATGATTAATATGATGGATAACATAATCTATCATGTATAATCGATTATGCATGTATATAATATAATCATAATTGATTATGTTAAATAATATAATTAATTATAAATATGTAATTTTTATTTTGAATAAATAATAATAATAATAACAATACTTTTATTAATTAGTTTTTAAAATAAATAATTTCTTTAAAATTCACTTCTATTCACTTATACTTTTCTACTATTAAATAACCTTATGTTTACTCTATTTTTTTTATAAAAAAAAAAAATCTATTCTCCACTTGCACTGAGTATGCAAATTGCAAAGACCGTACTGCCGTACTGAGTTTCAGTTTTCTTAATTTTTTAACCAAAAATAATGCAAAATTTAGATATAATAATAGTATCGTCACCAAATTTTTATACTCGTACAATAAACCGATATGCATTTTTATACTAATTATGTAATTTTATTAATTGAATAATCTTTTTTTACAGCATTAATTTAATTTTTTAAAAATATTATATATTTAAAACATTATAATTTAGTTTTAAAAAGCTAAGTTATTTATTTAATTCCCTAAAAATTACATAATAGTAATTTATTTTTAATTTTTATTACATTAAATATTTTTTTAAAATGATTTATTTGATCTTTTAATATTTAAGAGAAATAGTTAATATCATAAAATATTAGAAAATCGTTTCAGTGTTAAAAAAATCGTTAATAAACTAAATTAAATTTTTTTTTATCTATTTCTCTCTTTCTTATTTTCATTTACTCTGTTTCTTTCTTCTCTTTCAAACAAACATCTTCAACCTAAATCCTGGTTTGTGAATTCCAAATCCAAGATCAAGATCAACCATGCCTATAATAATAAATTAAGTTTGATTTAAAAAAAAAAAAAAAGGGCAGATCCACGGTGGTTGTTTAGCTGAGTTCATTTTGTCTTTTCAAATTTTATTGCGTTCTCTTTATTTTCCATTATCAGCTTTGATTTGCTACTTTTTCCTTCTATCACTGTCAAGAAATTTTATCTTCTGGAATGTGTTCATTTGGACTCTGTTGTCTAAAGTGAAAAAAAATTATTCTTTTAAAAGATAAAGAGAAATAACAATCATTCATTAAAGAAAATCAACAATTAATATTATAATTAATTTTATATTTTATTTTATAGAAAATTAATTTTATAATAATTAATTATGAGTGTACTGTCTCTTTTAATTTTTTTTTAAATACTTCTTACTTTATCCATTCCTTTAATGTGTTTTCTCTTTCTCTAGATTTATACATATGCTAAATCCATAATTGTTTCTTAGACAACTTGTAATCCCTTCAATATTTTTTTTATAATAACAAAAAGATTTAAATTTAAAATTTAATACAAATTATTCAAACTAGCATATAATAATAATAATAAGATTTAAACTTAAAACTTAAATGCCAATTATTCAAATTAGTGCAGTAATCCCTTCGATATTTTTTTTTGATAAGTTTTTTTTTTTTTATATGGTCTTTTTAATATTTTAATCTAACATTCTATTTGTTAAATGAATATGTATTTGAGTTTAGAAATTATTTAAAAGTTTAATTTAGATTTCTTCTAATTCTAACTCGTTTTGATATTGCTATCAAAGGATTTTTTCATTAATTTTGAGGTCTTAAGATGAATTATAAAATGTAGATTTTGGATTGTTATCCATATTTGTAGTTGGGTGTGTAACACTTTTTTCATAGAGTTGTTTTTGGAAAGTGAGATCAAATTTTTCTTTCTAGGTTGAGAATTCTCTTCTACTTCTCCTTCCTTTCTTTAGTTGGCCAGAACAGTGGGAAAAGTCTCAATTGTTGAGTTGCAGTTTGTCTTCAAAATCATACAGAGCAAGTAGAGCTTCTTCCTCTTCTCTTCTCTTCTTGGAAAATTCTGACTCCCCAAAAAGATCAGGGAATCTTGCCTTGGTTATGTTTTGTGAATTTGATTTGATGATTCTTTCAAACCCTTAATTTTTAAGTTGTGTTGTTGGAATTGTGATGGTTGAGTCGTGAGTTTTGGAGGAAGTTGATTTGGTTCTTGTAATACCCATAGAAGGGGTTTGATGAGTGTTGAAATCTATGGTTGCATATCTTTTTTGTGTTGATCTTCAGTTATTTTTTATGTATTCTGGTTAATTAGATGAGTTATTATGGTTTAGATGTAAGACTGGAACTTGTAGGAAGCTTAGGATGAAATGGAAAGCTTTGTAAACCCCAAAATTGCGGAAAGAAAAAACCCAATGATAATCTATGTCATGAAACAGTTGAGTGGTTTATAAACGGCTGAGCGAATTTGGGGACTCGAATCAGGGGTGTCTTTAGAGACAAAGGGCTGAGCAGATTTTAAAGGGTTGAGTTGATTTGAGGTCAAAGCTACCTGATTCAAAATTCACTAAGTGGATTTGAATGCGTTTAGCGGATTAGTTACCTTCTAAATTAGGCTTTATTGTCTTCATAAAAGTTGTAGTCCTATATGTTAAATTTCCAATGACTTTGGAATCACTTAAAAAAGAGATTTAGAACTCCAATTATGACCTTTAGTGAAAAAAGGTCAAGTTGTCAACAATTTAGCAAATGGTTGTGAATTTTGTAATTTTTAGTATAGTATATGATGGAGTTAGAACTTGAAGTCTTCATAAGAGTTGTAGATAACATTTTTAACTTTCATATGAGATAAATATGAGTTTGATTGAAGTAGTAGAACTCCAATTATGTTGTGTTATGTGGAAGTTTTCGTTGTATGTTAATTGATGATTACATGTTGAAAATGATGTGTTAACTCCCTTATAGCATATGGTAATATATGATGTCCTAAATTGTTATATGATGAATTTTTGATATTTAGATGATATTAAATGATAATAATTGATGATAAATACTATTGATGTTGAGTTGTATATTGTTGGTTAATTTGATGAAAGTGGAAAGTTGTAAAGTTGCATGTTGTATAAAGTGATCAAGTTGTAGACATGTGGTTGAGATACCTATCTAAGTTGTGATACACAAATGCTAGAAGTGAATTAAGTTGTTTTTAAAGTTGTTTCCCTCTAAGGTCTATGTGGTTTTGGTATAAAAGTAGTCGAATCATATCTTAATTGAATAACTAATTGAGTAAAGTACAAAGTCGAGGATTAAAATCTCTAACCTAGTATTAGAGGGTTGGGTATTTGGACGGTAGTCGGTGGACTAATCCCATAAGTGACTTAGTTAAGCTAGGTAATGTAACGACCCAGCTGGTCACTACACACCGCACAACACACTAGAAACACCACACAGAAAGGAACAAGTGTATACATATAGGGTCTAGAATATATACATATACATGATCCAAGTCTGGATAGAGTTAAAGTGTACAAAATACAACAAGGGCTACTACACTAAGTAGCTATACATCAAAAGATCCTAGAAGATCAACTCCGTCTGCCAGCTACAGACTCACCATCAACCACCAACCTATCCCTGCTCTGCTCCTATACATAGTATGATCATTGCAGTCCAAACATCATGGAGACAACAAAGGGTAAGCTAGTGAAAAGAAATCAGTATACATATATGGCAATATGATAGAAAATAACTACAGCTATCAACACACCAACACAACTTATATTACACCACAGCATTCAACAATATCAGCACCGCAAAGCGACAATAACAGCACCACAATAGTGGGGAATAACAGCACCGACATAACGGCTATAACAGCACCACAATAGTGACTAATAACAGCATTGACATAGCGGCTATAACAGCACCACAATAGTGGCTAATAACAACATCGGCATAGCGGCTATAACACCACCACAATAGTGGCTAATAACCATCATACAACTCAGCTAACACAGCTCACAGCACAGCACAACAAATCAGCATACAGCACGGCTAAGTAGTATTCAACACAGCTTACTACTCACAACTTAGCTTATCATTTTAGAGCACAGCAATATTATAAATCAGCATTTAAAATCATCAATAACAGCACAACTCAGCACAACAATATACATCTATTTCAGCTCATCTCAGCATAAAGCAACATTTTTCAGCAAATTTTAGCATATAACACCTCATCCTCATACGCGCCCAGCGCACTCATGGTCGCGCCGGCGTGGCACGACCAGAGAGTACCAGGGGCCAGCGCGCCCGGAGCAAGAGTACTCGCGCCCGGCGTGACCCAGCCAGAGAGCCCAAGGCTCTCACGTGCCTAGCGCAATTCAGCTTTGCGCTCAGCGCACGTCCAGGCAGAGACTCCAAAGAGTCTCACGCGCCCAGCATGGCCTAACCCGCGCCCAACGTGGGTAAGGCAGAGACCTACCAAGGTCTCGCGCCCGACGCAATTCATATTGCGCCCAACGCCTCTGGCAGAGACTCCCAATGAGCCTCCGCGCCCAGCGCGGCACCAGAAAACCCAAAACATAACACAACTGATATCGCGCCCGGCGTGGTCCAGGTCACGCCTGGCGTGGGCCATCCAAAGGCTCTCCTTCTCAAGCTCGCCCGGCGCATACACCTTTGCGCCCGACGGCTTGCCTAAAAGGAGCCTCCTGGTGGTCACGCGCCCGACGCGAAGAACAGTGCCCAGTGCGAGGTTCAGCAG